TCTTAACTGTTGATTTTCGAGAATCTAACCCAATAAATCACAGTTGTCATATTCACAAAAATCAACGGTTAAGATTTGATGTAAGATTTATTATTCTTATACTGGTGTAAAATAATCATATCTCATATATATATATATATATATATATATATATATATATGGAAAAAACATTTCTCAAGCTGTTTGAGATAAATTATCTCCGGCTACCCCAAAACTACGTCGTTTTGATTATTTATTTCCTTATATGTATTGATTCACCTTTGAATGGTTATGATTTCTCTTTTCTCTCTCTTCCTTTATCACCATTGATCCATCTTTGTACGGTTATGATTTAGCAGCTGGAGATAACTTTATCTCCGGCAGCTTGAGAAATGATAAGCCCTATATATATATATGTGTGTGTGTGGAAAAAATATTTCTCAAGCTGCTGGAGATAAATTTATCTCCGGCCATCGCAAAACTACGTCGTTTTGATTATTTATTTCCTTATATGTATTGATTCACCTTTGAATGGTTATGATTCCCTTTTTCTCTCTCTTCCTTTATCACCATTGATCCATCTTTGTACGGTTATGATTTAGTAGCCGGAGATAACTTTATATCCAGCAGCTTGAGAAATGATAAGCCTATATATATAGATTATTTTACACTGATGTAAGTTGCATTCTCAATCTTGGTTATCTTTGATTCTATTTATATCTGACGAATCTAATGTATTAAATATGTGAGTCATTAAATACAAGCAAATCAATGATCAAAATTTGCTGCAAGGCTTTTCATTTTTATACCAATATAAGAATTACTACCTATATATATATATATATATATATATATATATATATATATATATATATGAGACAAGATCCTTTGACACCTGTGTCAAACTAAAAAGTTTGACACCAAAACTTAACTGTTGATTTTTGCCAATCTGAAAATTATAATTTATTGGGAATCAATAAATTAATTCATAAGTGTGATCCCAAAAATTATAACTGTCAGATTCATGGAAATTGTTTCTCCCTCAATTCTTACTCAAGTTAGGCTTATGATACATCAAATAAGAGCTCAAAGTGTCTAGTATTTTGTATAAAAATTTGAGAGAAATTGGTTTAGTAAATCGTTCAGAATCGCAGAAATGGTGAGGGAGGTTTGGTGCTCTGTTTGGAGTTGGCTGGCAGCTTTACTTATCTAACTTCAAACGGTGATACCCGGAGCTAGATAATTCCAAATGAGATGTGTATATCTTGTTGGAAAGGTAATTGAGTCTAGTTTAACATAGTAAAAGATGAAAAATTAATAATGAGTGAATCACGCCTAGTAGTGAAAAGACATAAGCATGTTCAGTGTTAGGAAAAGTGAAAAAGTTAGATTTATGCTAAATTGAATTATGAGAACCTCTTAGCATCTTAAAATATGTATTGTATAATATTTAAGCATGTATAATATAAATTCCACATATAGATTTCAGTTATGATCACAGTTTGTATCATTTCATTTTTATTGTTTTCAAATGCTTGCGTAATGAAAAAGAAAAACTTTACTCGTATTTTTAAATAAATTGCTGTGATTGTAACTGCGCTTAATATTATAATCAATGTTAACAATATCGGTACGTAACAGGATGTTGCATCAGTTCATGAAGGGACTTTACACACAAGGAGGTTGTTCATAGATCTGCGGTCCAGGAGGTATGCCTTGTGTGTGTGAGAGACGATGATGATTCGGTAAGCATACAAATGTACTAGGTTCTTAAATCGCTTCTGCGTAAATTCAATAGTTTCTACAGAAATAACATATACCCATTTCTGTACTAAAGTGATATGCTCCATCACATTCGTCAGAACTTTTTGGGTACTACTGTAGTAGCTACATCCATGCTAAAAGAGGAAAAAATTTGGAATTTAAAGGTAAATATAAACAAAAATTTGGGTTAAACTAAAACATTTGTCACCAAATTTTAACTGTTGATTTTCATAAATCCCACGATTATAATTTATTGGATTACACTTATTAATTTTCAATAAATTGTAATCGTAGATTGGCAAAAATCAAATATTATGATTTGATGTCAAACTTTTCAGTTTGACACCTATGTCAAATAATTATATATATATATATATATATATATATAGGGGCAGGTTACGTTTACAACTTTTTTTTGTTTACAACTCTTACAACCTCAACTATGTTCTCCCGGAAGAACATAGTTGAGGTTGTATGAGTTGTAAACAAAAAAAGTTGTAAACGTATCCCTCCCCATATATATATATATATTTATATTTATATTTATATTTATATTTATATTTATATTTATATTTATATATAGAGAGAGAGGCGGGATCCTTTGAGACCAGTGTCAAATTTGAAATTTGACACCTCATCTGAGAGCCGTTAGATTAAAAAATATCAATGGCTCTGATTTGTGAGCATGTGACACCGTTGATCTTTTTTGATCTAACGGCTCTCAGATGAGGTGTAAAATTTCAAATTTGACACTGATGTCAAAGGATCCTACCTCATATATATATATATATATATATATAGGGAAAAACATTTCTTCAGCAACTTGAGATAAGTTTATCTCCGGCCACCCCAAAACTACGTCGTTTTGTTTATTTATTTATTTATATCAAATGATTCACCTTTGAATGATTATGATTCTTTTTTTCTCTCTTTTTCTTTATTACCATTGATCCATCTTTGTACGGTTATGATTTAGTAGTCGGAGATAACTTTATCTTCGGCAGCTTGAGAAATGATAAGCTCATATATATATATATATATATATATATATATAGGGCAGGATATTCTTATACTGGTGTAAGAGTTAAAAGTCTTACACTCAATCTTGACCATTGAACCATTTATATCCAATGACTGACGTTAATATAAAATTTGAGCTCTTAGATATAAGTGGGATTAACGGATAAGATTAAGAGTGTAACTTACACTGGTGTAAAATAATCCTGACCCTATCTATATATATAAATATAAATATATATATATATATATATGAGGTTTACATTTCTGCAGCTGTTGTACGTGCAGCCAATGTTGTTAAGATCGCGTTTTAACTCGTGGGATCGTATGATTGTACGATTTTTTTATCATGGACGCGCCAAGTCGATTGCAGGATCGTGAAAGAATGGGATCATCCAGGATCGACGCTTAAACTTGTAAAAACGTGGAATCGCGCGATCCATCCGTTTTGGGTGATTCACAGAAATACCCATACGTTCAAGAAAGGTTTGTCTGGAAGACAAAAAATAGGGGGGTAGTGAGACTGTGGTTGTCGTTAGTGTCTAAGACCAAATAGGAGATGAAGAGGACACTAGTTTTCGCAGGTGGAATCGACTATTAAAGAGAGAGAATAAGATAGAGAGTTGGGTTTTCATTACTTGAGCCGTTAAAGAGATAGAAAAGAAGAGATATAATTGCTTTAGTTCTCATTTTTAATTCACCACATAATTCTTTTCTCATTCTACTTTTTCTTTATCATTTAAATTTTCAGTTTTGTAATTTCACGCTTTTCAATGTTCTGTTGATTCCAGAATATAATATTATATAAATTAATTCCCTAAATAAAAACTGAATGAATTTACCAAAAATTAAAATTAAAAAACTTAATGTTAAATTATTCTTTTACAAATTACATTTTTTAAATTAATTTTAATACTGATTTAAATATCATTTTTATTTGTTATTATATATATATAGATTAAATATAATTATGGTGTTAATTTAAATATATTTATATGATTATACCAATTTAAATATATTTTATATGAACAGGCACGATCTTACGATCCGTGTCGATTTTACAATTTACGATTTTTTTATCCCTTCTTGATCTTAGGTAAGATCTCGATTTTAATAACATTGCGTGCAACAGTCAAATACTTGCCATATACATACGTGAAAACATTAAATGTGAAAAATTATAACCATAAAAAGATGAAAGCATTAAATGTGAGAAATCATAACCATACATCAGTCATTGTTGTACGTACAGCAGCTGGAGAAATGTAAACTCCTATATATATATATATATATATATATATATATATATAAAGATTATGCTTACAACATCTTCTCGTTTACAACATCTTACAACCATATATTAACTATTGATTTCCGTCAATCAATGATTATTATTTTTCCAAATCAAACTCATTAATTAATTATTAATTCACAATAAATAATAGCCGTTAATTGACGAAAATCAACGATTAAGATATGGTTGTAAACGAAAACAGATTGTAAGTATAACCTTCCTTATATATATATAAATATATATATATATATTTATATATATATTTATACTCTGTATATGTATATATTACAGCTAGCATCTATACTTTCCAATACTAAATAATTTGTAATACAAGTTAATTAATGGAGTAAAAATTAATCTTGAATTGACATTTTTTTAATGATGAACATGATATAAATGAAATATATTTTTAATCTAACTGCAACTTTGTGAAATTTCAACTTATAAATCAATAAGTTGTCCATCTGTATATTTTGATTTATGCTAATTAATCCGTCCTTGGTTATTTTGACGCTCTTATCAATCCCTTGTGAACTTAGGAAGAAGCACACAAATAGAAGGGCCACAACAAATTCATAACCCATGCAGAAAATAAAAAAACAAATCAGAACACATGTAAATTCCAGGATATTGATCAGTATGAAATTTTGCTTTTGGCTTTCAAACAATTCAGGCGACGAGGTTAACCTTGAATCACATATTTTTTGTCATAGTTTTCGGCTGCTTATAAAATGCCCATAGGATACTCAATCAATCTCTCTTTAAAAGTGCCCCACGTTTAATTACGTCAAAGTCAACTATATATAATTAATACACAACACACAGAGACCAAGAGAAAGTTTCTTTCTTTCAAATTGTACACTTGATTGGATAAGGACTACATGATCAATGCTGAAAATGAAGGGTGAAAAAAATACCCCAAGAAAAGAAAAATAGAAAAATTAAATCACCTTTGGTATCTGGTTAACAAATATACTTGAATACAAGGAGAATTGTTCCATGCTTTGGAGTGTAACCTAAGGATGCCTCTAGCTTTTTCTTTCAAATAGGAAGCACAATCTGCTTGCATCACCATACAAAGCTTTGACACAGCTCCAACCTTCAACATCTCTTGAACAACGTCATTTGTTGCTGAAAACTTAGCTATTAAGGAAAATATATGCAGAGCTCGATCATCTGTTGCTGGTGAAACCCTTAATGTCCTTTTAGAAAGCACTGCAATACCCGCTGCGTGTTGCAGAAACTGTTCTCTCCCATCAGCACAAGAACACAAATGAGCCAAAAGGATAAACATGAGTTCGGTTAAGTTCTTTTCCTGTTTTTCAAGTACAAGCTCAATGAGTTCTGTTACTGCACCTGCTTCCACAATCTTCATCCTATTTCTACCTAAAGGGCACGTTTCTATAAGTACATGCAACGCAGATTTAATAGCATGTTGAGAGATTGCTCTATTTCTTAATACACTTACAATTGGTCTGAAGAATTCAAGCTTTAAATTTCCTAAAGGGGTTGAATCTTTGACTTCAATTGCCAATTTCAGTATAGGCATTGCTTCGTTTATCATCTTGACATCGTTATCCATTTCAAGTTGCAAAATCCAAGTCAACGAGTTGAGAAAGTCAAAGTTTTCACCAACCAAGTGTTTCATGTTGTCGACCATGTCTGAACTACAGAGTAGACGAAGAATTCTCAGAGATTCTTCAAGGCTCGTTGTGTTACCTTGCTTGAAACTCTTTGTAATCAAGTGAACCATAGCTTTGGCTACACCTGATGAAGCCATGCACCTTCGGTTCCTCTCACTCTCTGTTGCTAGATCATGCAATTTTTCCAATGACATTAGAAAGAAGCGTGGAATTTCGAGATCCTTGACAAGTTTCTCAACGTGAGTCTTTTCCAAAGGGGATTTCGGGGTTGGAATCTGGTCAACTCCATTGACTGCGTTTGAAGAGCACCATGCTTGGATTAGCCTTCGAAGTGTGTGGTTAGGTGTCAAGAACTCTGAGTTTCTTTGTAATGGTTGCTTTGAAACAGGACACACACAATCTTTTGCAGTTAGCAACCAGTGCTCGATGCTTTCTCTGTCGTATGTTATGCCTGCAATGGTCGTCACAGGGTCCTTCATGATCTGAAGCGAAATGGGACAAACGAAAAATTGAGGAACTTCAATTTCAGCCATTGTGTGAGATATAGCCCAAAAAAATAAAAGATCTGTTTTTTCTGAGAATGGTTATGTTTGGAGAAGGAAGAAGAGGTAGAAGAAAAGGGTTTGCTTTGTTGGGTCAGAGTATATAGGCTTCTATAAATAGTAAGTTTTGAAAGAATATTACAATATAGAGATGGAACTTTGACATCAGTCTCAAAATTAAAGTTTGACACCTCAGCTGATAATTGTTGGATGAAAAAAGATTAATGATGTCACATTTTTATAAATTAGAGTTATTGATCTAACGGCTATGTGTCAAACTTCAAATTTGATACTGGTGTTAAAGGATCTTACCTGTATTATATAATTAATATAAATAAATAAATATATATATATTGGTGATGAAGAACAAGACATTTCTAGACAAAAGTGGAATATACTAATATATATATATATATATATATATATATATATATATATATATTTCCTTGTTTTACCAGTCACAGATGCTTAAAATTTGTCAAAGGTAAGTTGGGTGGTCAAACCTAGCTGCAACCTTTTTGAAACACATTAATATGGCTTTTGAATTTTAGATTCATGAATTTTCTAGGTCTACATCATGCTCTGCTATATGCCATAACCATAGGGGCCAGCTGTTTACGTGACGGCTGATACTGCAGCTGTGATTGGTTGATTTGGATTGTGTTTCCACTTTCAAACCTCGGAAGAGAGAGAGAGGATACGAAAAAAACAAATTAAGTTTCAAATTCAGTGATGCTCATGTAAGAATGTGTTGGCTTTATTTAGTATATATCACATTTAGAAATTCTGTAGGTTTTACATACTATCTCACGCCGCCTGCAATGGACGTAGTTTTTTAAGTTAGATATGATTCTGGAAATTGTTACGGAAATATTTAAAGTTATAATTGATGACTTTATCATTTGATTGCCATGTTCCTTCAAATTTGATGGATCTTATCTTATGACATTTATAATAGGAGAATTTTTAAAGGGAACCGGGTCCAAAGGGTGCTCCATTTTCTCAAAATATAAATTTTTTATGATATTTTTTTATTGATATCATTTTGTTTATTTACTTTTATATTCTGATTTTTTTCTATTTTGGAAAAAGGTGCACCTGCATCCGGGAGCATAAAAAATATGCTCTTATAATAGATATAGCTCCTCAAGTTATATGCGAATCTAATTATTTTTAAGAAAACAAAATTACATTCTTATAAAAATGAGCATTTTTCATTAAAGTTTACGGAGAGGGGTTATATTTACAACCCAAAGTTTACAAACTCTTACAACCATATCTTAATCGTTGATTTTCGCCAATTAACGATTGTCATTTATTGTGAATTAATAATTAATTAATAAATTTGATTTGCGAAAATCATAACCGTTGATTGACAGAAATCAACGATTAAGATATGATTGTAAGAAGTTATAAACGAAAATATGTTGTAAATATAACCTTCCTCAAATTTATTATAGGTGATAATATTTCTTACTTTTTTTTTTTAATATCAAGGTGAGTAGATTTTCTCCAATATTCTCAGAGGCTTTGGCTCTTTAAATCAATGTTATTAGAACCGGACCGGTCATTGACTCGATCGAGGTACCGAGTCACTAGATCAATGGTTCAACCGGTGGGTCACAGGTTGAACCGCATGAACCGGATATATATATATATATTTATATATATTTTATACTTAATTATATAATAAATATTTTAAATGGTGCCATCTAAAGAAATAACCTGATGTAATTTAGTGGTATTTGCTATGTTGTATATCCTCAATGCAAAGGATTAGAACCCCATTACAAGCAATTTTTGAAATAATTCTCTTAACTTAATAATTATATAATAAATATATTAAATAGTACATTACACCTTATTGAATCGATGTCGTTTTCCACACTCACCTGAGCTGCCATTAGCGGGTTAATATTTTTTACTTTTTTTTTTTTTTTTGGATAACAATTTTTTTTTTTTTTTTTACTTTGATTGTGTGTATTTTGGACCCAACTGGAAGAGTGTGGTACAAAGTACTGTGGGCCATTTTGAGCTAAAATTGGTGTGCGGAACTTTCAAAGATGTCGGGTGCTGAGTTTGAATTCAACCCTTATATATTAAGATTATGATTCTTAGGAGCAAGGCGATTTTAGCAGAGCAAATTGTCATGTTGAACTTACGCATGACAATCTGTTATTCATATCAAATGATATTTGAATACAAAATACTAAAGTCACCCTTACATTTTTTTTTAAATACAAAAACTAAAACAAAAAATATATTAACACATACTCTCTTCTTATTTTTTAATTTTCCCCACCAAAAATAAATAAATATAAAAATGATATAAAATTTTGAGTATGCAATGGGTATCCGACAGAAAACTGGTGTGACACTAGCTAGGTTATGATGTTTCTTATAATGTTAGAATACGGGTATGAAAGTATACGAACATCAATAAAAAAAAAAAATTGGCTCATTTCATAATCAAAAGGAAAAAACAAAGAAAGTAAATTTATTTTTAACATTAGTTTACAAACATAAAAAATATTAGTATTTATTAAATTCAAATGATATCTATTGACATAAAAAAAATAAAAAATATAATATGCAATTTAACAGTATTCACTGGTACGGTATATAATACAAATACATAGGTGACATGAGTACGGTAATGAGTTCAACGTATTTATATTTCTTAAATCAAAATTTATAAAATTTAAATAATCATAAGAATATTATTAAGATAAACATTAAAAAAAGTCTTAATTATAAATATACAAACAAATACTAATCTTTTAAAAGCAAAATATGTTTAAAATATATTTGTAATCTTTTTATATATAAAGCAGCCGAAAATATGGTAGAGGAAAAGGGTGGAATCTATTTAGTAGAGGAGTTTTGTTCTTCCGTATGTTGAGTGAAGAACAGCCCGTGAACCTATGGGCTTTCCGCTTTCTCTATCTGAGTGGGAGAATTTTTTATTATTGTTCAGGACTATCACGGTCTTTTCACTTAAAATTTGATATCTGAATTAATTTTTTTCTCTCTTTTTCTCGCTTCAGTCCCACCCAACATTTTTTGATCCGGGTGCACACTAACTCCACTCGTCAGGCGCACATCCTTCCCTCCCCTCTTTTCTTAAAACCTGTTTAAAAATTCGTCCCGTCATCGACTCTGCTGAGGTCAGAAGTCACGGAATCATGAGTTTAATCGAGAGATTACAATGTCACTTTGCTGATCCTATTTTATATATTAAAAAAATAAATATATCTTATATGAAAAATTTAAAAAAATCAAACCACCAATCATGAAAGATTCAAAATATACTTAACATAATTCAACAAATTAATCCACAAGTCAATATTATATAAGCTAATCAAAGTATCAAAGTATAAAGTATAAAACATATTCCAATTGAGTTAATGAAAAGTTATATCATCAAACTCAAGCCCTTCTTGTCATTCTTACGCAACTATGACATTATGTGAAAGAAGATCCCTTACCAAAGAGAGAATGGCAGAGGAGAGGCGACAATGCGACAAATAAACTGTGAGAAAAGAAGAACCAACACGACGGAGGAGAGGGAGAGAGAAGACCGAAGAGGATAGGAGGAACTACTATCACGGCGAAGGAAATCACCAGATTAGGGAGACTAAGTTTAGGTATATGAGAGAAGATCATAAGAGAAGAACAACAACAATTCAGATTTCAAATCTTGTTCTAGATCTAGGCAGCAGCAAGTTTTTGTTTTATTTTTTTTATTTTTTGTTTTACACACGAAACGACTTCTTTTTGTGTGTATTTGTTTTTATAAAAATACAGCGACCTTCTCTAACCCTTCTGACCTGGGAATCACGGATTCAATCGTGAAATTTCGAGGGTTAGAGGGATTAATGCATGTAAAGTATAACTAATGATTCCAACCCTCAAAGAGAGGGGGTCAGTGACCAGACGAAATTTTAAAACACTGCCAAGCTCATAAATTTTTAATTATAAGCATCATTTTTTTGTCTTATAAGAAAAATATATATTACAATTTTGCCATTTGTTACCTGTGTTACAACTCAAGGTTAAATTAAGATAATTAGCTAGCCAGTGGTTATCGATTTCTAAAAGCTAAAAGTAATGCATAATTTTCAAATGGTGGCTGCTTCTGGATGATGATCACAGTCAAACAAATGAGAGTTAGCAGTTAGCTCAGTTTGTCGAGATCGTTTTCTCTTTTCTTGTACACGTCATATATATATATATATATATATATATATATATATATATATATATATATCATTTCCAAGTTGCTTGAGATAACTTTATCTATAGCTACTAAATCATAACCGTACAAATATGAATCAACGGTGATAAAGGAAAAGAGAGAAAAGAAAAATCATAACCATTCAAAGATGAATCAATTAATATAAGAAAATAAATAAACAAAACGACATAATTTTGGAGTGACCGAAGATAAATATATCTCAAGCAGTTTGAGAAATATTTTAATTATATATATATATATATATACGGGATCCTTTGACATCGTTGTCAAACTTTAAAATTTGACATCTAATTCTAACCGTTGATTTCCGTAAATCAATTATTATCATTTATTGAAAATCAAACATATTAATTAATTATTAATTCTCAATAAATGATAATCATTGATTGGCGAAAATCAACAGTTATGATTTGGTATCAAATTTTAAAGTTTGACACCGGTGTCAAAATATTGTGACCACCACCCCTCCCCCCACTAAAAATCTGAAAAAAAAAAATTATATATGAAAATGGCTAGCATACTTGTACTGGCTTTCTTTTCAATATTAAGTTCACAACCACTACTCTCGCAAATCAGCTTGAGGAGAAGGGATTCCAGAGAATTTCGCACAATGGGCCAGGCTTTGGGCATACCTGATAGTGGGGGTATTAGCACAAAGTGAAACAATTTCAAGGATAGATCAGTCTGAACCATTGGATAAGCTTCTATTGAACAAGAGATTAAGGCAATCTTT